ACTTCTTTTCCTTTAGTACCAAGGTTGCACATCATTTCTTTGTGTATTTTATCTGGTTCTGGGGCTTTCTTTTCCTTTAGCTTTTTGAGGGCCTGACTGAGTCCCACCATGCTATAATCCTCTTCAAAAAGCGAGTTGTTCACTGTAGGAGCTTTTTCTTTATGCTTAGCCCTATTTATGAGAAGTCTTTTAGCCTCGGTTAGTCTGCCTGCCCTGTTTACAGATGCGAAAAAATGGTTAAAATGTTCGGCTCTCTTCTGGTCTTCATTGATGGTGCTGCCTGAAAGGAAAAAGGGTTTGGGGTTGCTTTTTTGTCTTTCTCCCGAGAGGTTGCTGACAAGGGACCAAGCCTTTGTTCCATTGTGGCGGAGGTCAAGATCTTTGCAAGTTTGAGTCCATTTCTCTTTTTTGGCTTTTTTTACTGTCACTTTCACCTGAGCGCAGGTCTTGTTGTAGTGTATTTTGTTTATTGTTGATGGTGATTTTCCAATGACTGTCTGGCTTTCTCTCTTTCTGCCACAGCAGTTTGGATTTTTTCACTCCAAAAGGATTTGAAATTTCTTCGGCATCCCCGTGGAAAGTGCTGAGGTGCAACTTTAAGAATATTTTCGGTGACTGGTCATTAAAAAGATCAGCATCTTCTGTTTCTGCTATGCTGGAGAGCAATTCGTCTGAAGTCTTTTCGTATTCTGCCCAGTTGGCTTTCTTAAAGTTCCATCGAGTTCTCCGAGGGTGGTTCAATGCAGGTGAGGAGGTGATCTGTATAAAGATAGGCCTGTGATCACTTCCTATGTCATCAATCACTTCGATGCGACAGAAGTTTTTAATGTCGGATGAGCAGAGGGTGAGATCAGGCCGGCTGAGAGTCAAGTGGGCTCTGTGAAGTAAGGTAGGAGTTGAGTTGACATCTTGTAATACAGATAGGTTGCTGGTTTCGCACAGCTCCTCAATCTTTCGGCCTGTGCCGTTATAATTGACGTAGCCCCATTCTTGAGAGTGGCCATTGAAGTCACCCGCACAAATGGGTTTTTTCGTAGCTGGCTGCTTGCAGATCAGACAAGTCGCATGTTGTCTGTGGGGGGCTGTCAACATTGTATAGTGTGTACTTCCTACCAATGTGCCATATGGTGGCCTTCTGGATATCTGTCGTTTGGGCAGATGATAAGTGTACGACATCTCCCTGAACATCGTTTCGCAGGTAAGTGACTACACCGCGGCATCCTGTGCATGTGCATGCGTAACTGGTGTATCCTGTGAGGTTCAGGTCCGTACCTTTATGTAGGGTTTCTTGAAGGAAGGCAACATGAATCTGCCTGTCCTTCAGTACTTTGACGAGTTCTGTTTTCTTGTTCCTCAAACCACAGATGTTGAGTTGCAAGAGGTTGAGGGAACTCTTCTTCTGGTTGGGGGTGTAACTGGCTCCCTTCTCAAGCCGAGAGCGTTTCGGTGCTGGTTTAGCTCTGTTTCTGTGTGTATCAAAAGTAGCTCACTTGTCGCTCAGAACAGCCCGGCGATTGCGCTGCCTGTCGCGAACCTTGTTTAACGAGGCGACGTCCGAGCTCACATGTAATGTATTTCTTTGTGTCATTGCATTGTGGACTGGGGTGTCTGTGGACTGTTTGCCCACCCTGAGGATAGGAGGGTACTAGTAGTTTTCATGAGACTGGAAAGACCTAACTGCCCTGTGACCGTGTAATTCCGGTAGGGTTCACGTTGCCCATTCCCCGCCACCAATGGCTACTGGCTAAAGTTTTCTATTCTTTCATGAGATATTGGCCAAGTGGTAAAGCCATTGGATCGTCACGTCCTGGGTCGTTGTGCCTTTACTAAGAGGTTTCACGGCCAGAAACCAAGTCAGGCATTCTGCTCGGTCCATCCCCTGCACCCAGACACTCTCAAACTGGCTGGTACCTTCTCAGCCACATAGGGTGTGTTGATAAAGAAAAGTAGGGGTGTTAGGCAGATTAGACACCCACTCAAAGGAGAGTAGGAGCTTGTTAATGAGGAGCATAGCGTCTACCACGCATCGTGGGTTCTGCCCTAGGCGATGTCTAGGTTCTGCCTCCTCCACCTTGTGGGGCCACACCTGCTCCCATCCTGTTGTTTTAACCCCTCTAGGAAACGGGGGTGGGGGTGGTTTGTTGGCGCCAACAACTCGCCATTCGCCAGAGCCGTGTCAGTGAGGACGGGGACCACCACGGGCAGGTACGGTTGGCTGGATTGGGAGAAGCTGTTTGAGACGCTTAGGCTTTTCTCAATATTTAAATGAGACCTATCACCAGTCCTTGATCCCCCAATCTACATTATTTCCGTCTTATCATCATTCAGGTTCAATTTAGTACTAGTCATACATATGACGTAGAAATCCATACAATACGTAAATAAAAGTTAATTTGGCCTTAACATGTCACTAGATGCATTGCTCGTAATGGGGGCTATGAGGAGCATCATTTGTAAAGCTAGCAGTTCCACGTAATAAAATGTGTAACTGTCTGTCTGGATGGATTTCTTTATGTTTCTATCAAAAGTCTTTGCTGTATTTAAAGCGGTTTTTAAAGATATCTGATTCAACATTTTTTGGCGGTAATCGGGTTTGGGACACCCTGGAGTCCCTTTTACTGATTTCAAACGTTGTATTGCCACAAAGCAAATGTGGTCAGGTACCAACTCACCCCTCTCCTAAAACATCCCAAACATCTCCATGAGCACCAAAGCGAGCCTCATCAAGACCATTTTTTTTTTACCAACGCCCAGGTATCAGTGCCAGACATGGTTCTTGACAAAAGCCCTCGAGAAGAAGCTGGTCACATGCAAAATGAAAGGTCTAAGAAGAGCGGTAAACAAGACAAGACGAGACAAGATAAAACAGGCAGTCATAAGAGACTTGGCAGGAGCAACCCCAGTCCTACCACAAAATTGAGAAAAAGAAGATTGAGATCCTCACACGGAAAATCAATCAGCTCTGAGGGCATACAACACCAGATATTCTTGCTGGAGAGTCAGGGGAAGACCAATACGACGCTGGACCAAATCTGTGGCAGACACCTTCAGAGTTAAGGGGAAGACCCCCCTGCAGGCCGCTCACCTTGCTGCAGACAGACGCCTGTGTCTTCCCGCGACACTCACAGGTACAAGCGGAATAAAAAAGTAAAGTAAGTGAGTGTGCCACAAACAAGATTAGATCTACAATACTTTTTACTCATTTACATTTTCGCGTTTGTTTGTTTGTTTGTTTGTCTGTTGTTGTTTTTTTGTTTCTATATACGTGTTTCTTTGTTTTTCAGTCATCTGTTATAAACTGAGTAATATCAATGTTTGGTCCCGGCAAGCCCCCATCCTCTTTACAACCCACCAGACGCCATTGATAGTGATGTGGTGGTGATTGGGGTAGAGGGAGCGAGGTAATCTAGGCAAATATATAGGAGAAGGTCAAAAAAGACATCCACTTGAGTTCTCACATGATGATAGAGATATGATAAACACAATGGAGATTTTACATCAGCATAAGATGCTAAAACCGAGGGCTTTCAAAAAGTATAAAGTGGGATTTTCAAACTGATAATTTTACTTTGCCTGTGGACATTGCAAGCCATGGTAAGCCTTTGTGTCTCCAATCTTCGTGTTGGCCCGTCTAATTAAAACTCATATGACTGTTATGTACCGAGATACTTTTTATTCCATAGCCACATCGTTCAACATTGAAAACAATTATTCTGGCCTACCTTGCAGAAACAACGCCTGCTGTTCATTTATATTAAAAAAAAAATATTCTCAACGTGTTAAGCCATAATTTATCTGGTTTAGTAACCACAGTTTTAACTGTTGTCCATATTATTCCTCAGCGCTTCTTACAAAATCATTTTATAAATTAGAGATCATTTTTTAGTTCGTTGCGTTCTATGTATCCACTCTTAAATTCCCATAACAAGAAAAATTTGCTAACCATAAAAAGACAACTCCCAAATAATAATACAATTGTTTACCCAGTTACATTTTAGAAGTTGCCTTGAAGTAGGTCAATATTTTTCTCTTCCTTTAAAAAAGGGGGCGTTATATTTGCCAATGCGAAGAAAATCAAATCAAGTACATTTCAAACAAAATTTGGTGAAACTCCAAAACTGTTTAACTTTTAAACAAACCAGCCGTATTGTTTCATTTGCAAGTAGCCACTGTGTGTGCACTGAAGAGCAAATGTATACTCAAATTATAACGCTAAGTAAACTCAGGAGAGGTGGTCGCTATTTAAATTGTATGCTCCAAGTGTTGACCATTTCTTTCAATACAAGCTTCAATACGCCACTGGAAATTTGGGACAACTCTTTTGACTTGCAACTCTTCGATTGTTTGTAGATTGTTTTCATAGACTGTCAAAAAATCCCAATGGAAAAAAATATGTGGTTCAAAAAGGGAGAATGCGGTGACTATTTATTCTCAAGCTTTCGGCTGATATGGCGTTTCCAAAATATTTCTTGCACCACGCAGGGGCACTTTAGAAGTGTGGGTATGCCCCCCCCCCCTCCCAGCGCTAGAACCAGGCCTTAACAGCATAATATCTCTTCCCCAAACTTCTCCTAAACCTTTTCAGCATTGTGAGAATACCCATTCGATCAGACTGTAGCCGAATGCTTTTAAGATGTAAACTTTTGCGTCTTACCCAATTTCGCTTGAATTTTTAAAAAATCTTCCATTTGTCAAATACTTTGATTGGTTTTCTTCATCTTTGTAAACGTTTTTTCCCCCTGGTTGATTGTTTTTGTTTGTTTTTTTTGCTCCATATTTTGTTGTTGAAGTCAGGGCAAAGATGATCGAGTTTTTTTTCATTTCAAATAAGCCCCCTTTTCTTGAACACCGTGTGTCTGTTTGATAATACCTTATATATAATATCAATAAAAACGCAATCCCCCCCCGAAAAAAAATGGAATCAAACTATCTATGTTGCCATTATGTTTACAATGTGATCTAGAACAGTAACAGTAAACAAGTTATGCTCTTTGTCTCCAGATGATCAAGCTCGCAGTTTTTGCCCTCGCTTTTGCCGTGGCTTCTGCCCACACAGACGCCAACTGGCTTATCTTCAAAGCCAAGCATAACAAGAGCTACAGGTACTTCGCCTAAGAATAAAGACTATTTTTTCCATTTTAGAAACATCTATTTCAATGAACTTGTATATAACCCTATTTGAATACTTGTACTGTGACTGGGTCATTTTAATTAATACTGACCCACAATTGATTGTCCAAGAGTACCAACACCAGCTCAAGCTAATACATCAGGAGAGTGCACCTAAAATCGTTCCAGTACAGCTGCTCAAACCACAGGACAATTTTGTTTATAGACTTTAATATGTCAGCCAGTATACTTTTCGTCGCCGACCGAAAAAGGAGTAGGATTGTAGTTAGGATACCTGCACACAGATTATGTTTACAATCATATCCCGATCGGGCTTGGATAAACTAGGCACACCGCCGATATGGACCCAGAGAAAATTGGAGCACCGCCATCCTCTCGAAGGGGTCTCTATTCCAACTTAAATGCAGAAGATGAAATGAGCACCTCAATTTCTTCAGCAACACAATCAGCCCATGACAGTCAAACAGGGCTATTCGCCCATGCTCCTTGCACTCCAGTCCAACTCCTTTTTTTTCTTGAAAAATCCAGAATAACGTCATGGTAGAGGATTCGTGGCCTATCTCACCACCAGATAATTTGAATCCATTTGAGCATTTGTTGGAAAAGACTGACTGTGTCTCTTTACTGAAACAACATTTTGTAGGCTGACTTTTGCAGACTCCAGTACACTGTGCCCTTGATTTGTAGTGCTGTGCTAAAATCACACGTGTAGAATATTGCGTTTTCATGAATAATTTGTAGAATTTACCATTGTTGTCAAAGTTCAGTCTTGAAAGATACGTTTACTCTGAAAGACAATCTATACACCTATCAAGTACTTCATATTTCAATTTAGTACTCTGTATTTATCTACCTATCTATCTATCTATCTATCTATCTATCTATCTATCTATCTATCTATCTATCTACCTACCTATCTATCTATCTATCTATCTATCTACCTATCTATCTATCTATCTATCTACGAAGGTTTTTCCCTCTCCCTGTCTGTAGTTGTGTTACATAAGAAATAAATATATGCGCTCACTTAATCATTCATCCAGTCGCCTGCCAGCTGACTCAATAACGCCTTCTATTTCTCAATCCCTTCACAGTGGAGAAGATGACGTCATCCGTCGCTTCGTGTGGCAGTCCAACCTGAAAAAGATTGAGGAACACAATGAACTGTATGCCCGAGGAATCAAGAGCTACTACCTGGCAGAGAACAAATACTCTGATATGGTCAGTTTCAAAGATCAAGGAGTTGCATCCAGTCAGTCTTCTGTTCATCGTAATTGATAGACCCCCCCCCCTGAAACACACACACAGCCCCCCCTCCCCCAAGCACAAGCCGCTCTTTTCGCTTTTCTTAATTATAATCACCAGGGCTAAAAACAAGAAAGGATTTTTTTGTCAATGAGACTCTAAGAAGTATGCCTCTTTTTACTGTCACCGTTGTCATTTTTAAGAGGTCAAGGCAAGAAAATAAAGAGCAATAAATGAACAGCATAGGGATGGTCGGAGTTCAAAATCTAGATGGTTCCCCATTTTCCTCTCGTCTAGCCTGACTAAATAAATTGACCTTATGCCTCAACCAGGCACTCCTAACTACCGGCAGACGTAGAGTATACTTTACTACTAACAAATATAAAACCCCATCAGATCAATAAAACGTTCAACTGAACAAAATTATGGTTCTAAAAGTTGTTCTGTCTGCATCCACAGACCAACGATGAGTTCAACAGGATAATGAACGGCATGAACGTACACAAGGAGCCAGGCAAATACGTGAGTGGCCAGTACAAGGCTTACCTGCCCGCCTCCGTGGACTGGAGGAAAAAAGGATACGTCACACGTAAGAACAAGTACAATGACTATACATGTGTGTGTGTGTGTGTGTGTGTGTGTGTGTGTGTGTGTGTGTGTGTGTGTGCTGTATTCATGTGTTTGGGCCTCTTGATAACTATAATGTATCATTTTTGAGAAGATAAACACCAATGCAAACAAACAGTAAATATGAATTTAAAACCCATTCTGTCAAACCCCTCCCCCTCCCTCTCCCATCGAGAACATTTAATCAAATGACTAAATCCCAATTATTTCACAACATTCTCACGATCACTTCATTGTTTTTCTTTTAGCGGTCAAAGACCAGGGACAGTGTGGATCATGCTGGGCTTTCTCCACCACTGGCAGTCTTGAGGGTCAACATTTCAAGTCCTCCGGAAAACTGGTCAGCCTCTCCGAGTCCAACCTGGTCGACTGTTCACAGAAATGGGGTATTTTATGATTGTACTTTCTTCACATTCGTCTATAAGTATTAACAGTGCCTAAAAATGTCTTCTTCTTCTTCTTCTTCTTCTTCTTCTTCTTCTTCTTCTTCTTCTTCTTCTGCATGTTAAAAGCAAGCCCTAATTGTTATTTCCCTTTTTATGAAACAATTTGTCAGAAGATAGCCAATTGAATGTTTTACTTGTTTCCAATCCACCTGTTCTATCCAAAACTGAAAAATATTGTCTTTGCCCAAGTTAAAGCTCATTTCTCTCACAACAAATTGCTTGAAATTTTCCAACTAGTCTATAAGGAGTTTCATACTAGTGAAACTGCTCTTCTAAGACTTTTATCGTTATAATTATCATTATTACTGTTATCATTAGTAGTAGTAGTAGTAGTAGTAGTAGTAGTAGTAGTAGTAGTAGTAGTAGTAGTAGTAGTAGTAGTAGTAGTAGTAGTAGTAATTCAAACTGTTATATCATCCCAGAAGTCATCGTATATTTTCCTGGTACATGTATCAGTAGTTGTCGTAGGGAGACACAATCGTTTGTAAGCACTAAGTCGAGTGTCTTGGAAGAGGGTCTAGTCATTGGCTCTGAGGGTGTCTTTTATAGAGTGAGTCCAGTGACGACTTACGTTTCCGTTTCAGGTTGGTCTGGTAGCATTCTTGAGATGTGGGCTTACTATGTTTATTTCTCTGTTGTTAAATGTGGAGGGCGACTGTTGTTGTTCCTGCTGACTCTCTGGCCACCCCATTTCTGTTCTGATTTCTCCTGGTTTTGCTCATTGCTCTCATCGGGCATTTTACTCGCATGTGGTCAGTGTCCTCTCATGTGTTTTTGTCAAGGATCAGGTTTTGCACCACCGCCTGAATTACCACAAATTCATCGTAGCTCTACAATTGGATTAATGTTTTTCTCCTGCTCTCTATAGGAAACCATGGCTGTAATGGCGGTCTCATGGACCAAGGATTCCAGTACGTAATTGACAACAAAGGTATTGACACTGAAACGAGCTACCCATACAAGCCAGAAGACCGTCCCTGCAGCTTCAAGCGGGCAGATGTCGGAGCCAAAGAGAAAGCCTTCCAAGACGTGACAAGCGGTAGTGAGGATGCCCTGCAAAAAGCTGTTGCCGATGTACGCTTGTCCATGGTTTATTCGTTCATAAATAAAACCCCTGTACCAGTATCTACCTCCTTGTCTCAAGCCGTCTGCCCTCCCCATCCCAATCTCCAACGTACATAAACACAGACATACATACATACATACATACATACATACATACATACATACATACATACATACATACATACATACATACATACATACAT